GGGGCTTAGCACTCTAGATGATAGCACGTGTAACTAAACGATTGGTAAACAGGTTCCAAGTAAGTCAAGATTCTAAATTGTGCTTGAAAAAGTTTAAGCCTTTGATTGGAGTAGCTAACAACACTTTTGAATGGCCCATTTCAAGTCCATTTTGTGACGTTGGTGGTGGAAGCTTTACAGGTGGAGGATCAGAATGTGTGACTGGTGCAAGTACCGGGATATAGGATCTTGGGCAGAAGGGGATAAACTGTGCAGGCTGAGAAAGCGAGGGAACCAATGTACATTTCCATGTCAAACATCCTGAAAATCAATCTTAGATAACTAGCTGGACAGGCAGCCGGCCCCCACCAGATCCTTGCCCGTTGCTCAAAACCAGCTCATAACAATTTAAATCTGGCGCACCGTCGAATTTCATGGCATAGTTTCCCAACCAATTTGTTGTTTCTTCTCTCCACATTAAATTGCCCATCACCGCCTGGACATGCCATTTGCACCTTAATTCTTGCACATTGTTTTCAGCTTATTGACTTCTAATCTAAACAAATCAATAATCAACTTTATGCCATTGAGAAATGGAAAAATGCAACAAAAACATGTCGATGTTACCATATAAAGGATAATCATAAAGGGATATTTGGCCATCTTTGCATTGTTCACAAAAAAACAATGCTAGTTACTATAACATCTACATGTCGTTAAGATTTGTGGTTCCATGTTAAAGGTCAACATTGTTAAGAGAAGTAATCTAAGACCTTATAAGTTGGTCNTAGGATGAAAGGCAAAACAGTACTTCTAAGATAAAGAAATTACTTCTGAGCATGTCTTCAATAATTTTCTAAAAATATTTTTTTATTACTGGAAGTGTTTTTAAAAGAAACTAACCTAAAGTAACTATCTCAAAAAGTTCTATAAAAAACAAAAGCAAAATAAAAAAAACACAGTCGAACGGACTCTAAGTCGGTACAAACTAATTCTTTAAACAGAAAAAGGAAAATAGAGTTATTGTCAAGACTGAATATTTTTGAAGTTGAAATAATGAACGCTGTTGTACCACTTTGCGTCATTGAAAAGCTTTTCCACTTTGCTATTTTTGTATAATCCCATTCGAATGGTGCATATAGTTCTAAAAAGCTTAATTATGAGGGGGCAGATAACCAAGTTAGTTACGTTAAACCCCCTTTTGTTTTCCATCATTTTCTCATTAAAATGAAAAATATAATCGTTATCCATCACATGAAACCACCATATTTGACTTTATATTTTTTGTGTGGGACTCGTAACGACTATACTTTTAATTCTTCTTTTTACATTAATGTGTACCAAACGAGACCTAATATTACATCGACAGTCCACAGAGCCTAGCAATATAGCAAACGTATAATGAACCCATAAAACTCCATAACATCGCGTCTATCGGCTTGAAAAACAGAAAGAGCAGTATCATGGTCGTAATACCAAGTACAAACAAGACTATTAGGCCTTAAAAATGTTCCCTACCTGTAAATCTACCAAAAATGACTCTTATGTTGTGCATCAAAATAACTTTATTGAACAAAACTCTTGGACAGAAACAATAAATTTGAAATCTCGATCAAGACGTAATGCCCCCATCACTGCTTTCCCTTTACTGCAACGGCAGCATCATATCGCTATCTTCAGCAGATCCATTTTCAGTTTCCTCAGCAGCTTCATTTTCAGTTCCCTCAGCACTATTTATAGAAGGTAATAATAATTATAACGGCATTAAGAACATGAATACAAGGTTCGTAGTAATGTCAATACACAAAATTTTGTTCAACATAACAAAATCATTTATTACCTCTCCTGCCATAATAAAAAGCATAAAATATATCCATTTAAACAAAAAATTAGCTAAACATCAATGCAAAAATGTATTCAACCATAAGCATGCCTTCAGGCGCGAGCAAACACTATAGTCTACAATAACACACAAGTGGGTCTCTTCAATCCGGCATATACAGCACAATGTAAGAAAGGTCTTAGAAGCCTCGTTCATTCTAACCAAAAAGGCCAAAAAGAAAAAGGAAAAGACAAAATGAACTGAAAATGAACAAAAACTGAATAGCAGAATCAGTGTAATGAATGTCCATTCGGAAAAAATAGAAAAGGAGAGGTGACATAAATAGACAGGAAAATATGATACAAGTTATTGATGGAGTTCATATGGTGAACAAAGTGGTATAATTAGAAAGAAAAGAATTGAAGTTGCATATTATATCACGACCACAAATTATATAGGATTACCAATTTGAATGTAATAGAGCAAACTCATACCAGATAAAAGGTCCGAGCAAATATATAACTTCCCTAAAAAGAAAGCACAAGTTGTTTGTGCTTGAAGAAAGTACAGGAAAGCAGAGGTTAGAGCAAGACCGAAGGCTCCAATTTAAAACACCATAATTTGAAGATAACCACTGAGATATAACTTACTATATGTTTCTCTGTTTACAGCTGCAAGTTCTGGGAAAGTCCCAATTTTCCAACAAATGATTCGGAACAACCAAAACCAATGATTCAGTAAGGCCAAAGATAATGTCAGTTTTTTAGGAATTTAACATACACAAAAAGATATTCACGCATTTCATCAAGGACAAGTACTTTCAACAATAGCCAAATTAAAGTAAGAAACCAATTCAATCAAACTATTAACATTTCAAACCATTCAATTCTTAATCAAAAGACAGTATTTTTCACGATTCATGTAAATTTCAGAACCTAATTTACCAACCTATGGAGACGATAATCAGCAGACTCCGGCTTCTTCCAGGTTCTCTCCTCCGGCTGTCTCCGAAAACTTCTCTTCCCGACTGCCTGGCCATCGGGGGACTCAGTACCAACCTCCTTTATTTTCGTAGTCTCGAGCTTCTCATCAATTTCCTTCCAATCTTGCCCCTTCTCCTTCAAAACCTCTTCCCTTGGCCTTGCCTCTCCAAACGGATTATTACCCTTTGACTTCACTGTATTCTCACCCTTCGGCCCCTCACCCACAGGCAGTGTCCTTGGTTGCAAATTTAACCTCGGCCTGCCACCAATACCACCGCTCCCATCCTCTATTTTCCTCCCCCATGCCTCAGAATCTCCACCGGTGGATTCAACGCTCCCTCTTCTTTCCCTCAAACTATCAAATGCTCCACCATTTTTTGGGCAATCTTCCTTCCTCTTTACCCAATTATCTGTATCTGCACCACCGTTATTGGACTCCAATCCAAAGCCCCCTCTTCTATCATATCTTCGAGGTTCAGACGGCACAAAAGCCTTATTGGAACCCCAATTATCAGATTCATCAGCCCTGAACTGCGAGCCCGAGAAAAACCCTCCTCTTTCTCCTCTCTCCCGTCTCTCGAATCCATTACCAACCGTTGATTTCTTTCCCGCAGCCCAATTATCGGTCTCGTCACGCGAAGTCCCAAACTCCCCGTTCGAGTCCCTATTAGAACTTCCCTGGCGACGCTGCTGCTCATACCTTGACGACCGTTCGTTGTAAGAGCCATAGGATTTGAAACCGCCGCCTAGCTTATTACGATCAAGCTCCTCAGGAGAGCGCTGAGTAGGGCCGGTGGGAAGGGTCATCATTTCATCGGCGGTTAGTCCCTTGGCAAGGATCGGCTGAGAAGGCTTGTAAGTTGCGAATTCCTGAAGGGACAGAGTTTGGGGCTTCTTCTTCTTGGTCTTGGTGGAGGCTGCCGCCGCCAAGGATGGAAAATCCGCTGTATCACCGCCGCCGCTTGAGTTGTCGTTCACATAATCTTGTTTGTGTTCTTGGACGAGCTCCGACTCATTCTCCTCCGAATCCAAAGCCCATGCGCCGGGTTTAGTCCACGCGCTCACTGTTGCCGCCATTTTTGCTTCTCTCTCTCCTCCCTCTAGAACTTGCGCAAAGGCGTCCGTGTATGGAAGATAGGTTTTGTGATTATTTGCGTTCGTCGGAAGCGAAGGATTTGATTATATATACTAAAGAACACACACACGCACTTCTGGATTTGATCCAACGGTGTCAGTATTTGATCTGATAAGGATATATTCGACGGTGTAGGGTGATTTTGTGAGAATTAAGGAAAGACAACGTTCACCACACAATAAGCGTACGAGTGATTTATTCTTTTCTTTTTCTTTTTTTTCCCAAATTGATTCAACGTTTCACAAACATCATTAAGATATTGGTTAGTTTAAAGTAACATATCTGCTAATACATGTTGTCACGTCTCATATTCGAAGCTCTCAGTGGAAATCACATGAAAGCAATATATGCAAATATCTAATGGTTGACAAGTTCAAAATAAAGAAAGAGAACAAGCTGCTTCTTAAGCCGAAACACTATTTCCATCTGAAGTCGCTTGCTAAAGTACTCTCTTTTTTGGCCGGACCTCTGCTCATCTAAAGCTCTCTCTTTGAGTTGAAGCAATTGCTGTCTTTAAAGCGGATCTAAAGAGTATTTGTGGGAATGATTGATGCAATGTGTTCTATTAGTAAGTGTTAAAAATGCCAGTTTAGAGTGTAAGGCTGCTGATCATTTTTCAATGTAATTAATGTATGACAAAGAGCGATCCAAGGCTCCGGTTAAGGGGATGAGGCCACATGTTTCGATCTAACGACGATCACATCGATCATAACTCTATAAATAGCAGCTATTGAAATATTTTAAAGGATTGGGAAAAAAATATGCATGAACTTTATATACTTGGAAATATGACTCTCTTGCTCGTCTCTTAGCGTTTGAGTTTGGATTCATTTTATTTTGATAGAGTTGTTTGCAATAGATCTTTGGTTTTGAAATTATCATTGATCACATTGTCGATGCCTAAACGTTTTCGTCTTGTGTCGTAGAACATCTCCTATGTCCATTACCACTGTGATTCTTTGATCGTATCTTTGGTCAAAACGTGCCAAAATTTGCTTGTTTAGACACGAGTGGATCTGAAATCTATTGTCCACGTTGCCATTATGTCAAAACATGTTAATCACTTGAGCATTTCATGAACGACTTTATTTAGATTTTTTTCAAAGCATAAGATCAATCAACCAAAAAAATAAAGAAAAAATTATCTATACTGTGAAGTTCAATTCACCACCATACTATAAAATTGACAGGTCCTATCTCGAATAAGTTGAATAGACCTATCTTCATCGAATCATCTAAAAATAAATAAAAAATGACAGAATGAGATTCTAAAAGGAAAACTTTCGATTCTTCTAAAAGAAAAAGAAAGAAGAATCTATTAAAAAAACACACTTTCCCACCAACTCCTTTTTTGAAGACATTTGAAAACAATGGAGTGTCAAACTCCATGTCAAGCAAACAATGTATAAAAAGCCTTATTCTTTTTTAAAACATTTGAAAACAATGGAGTGTCAAACTCCATATCAAGCAAACAATGTACAAGAAGCCTTATTCATATATATTTTAAACTTGGTAAATTTACTATTTTTTTTTCTTACTACAAAAATAAAATAAAAAACGCTTAGAAATTGTTTAATGACATTTATTCAATTAATTTGATTATTTAATAAAACATAATAATTTTATACTAATATATTACCAGATAATATATATTTTAAACTCGGTGAATTTACTATTTTAAAAGTATTGCAGAGGATCCCTCAAAAAAAAAAAGAGGCAAAAAAGGCGTGCTTTGAGCTTTTTTTCTCGTTTTGAGTTTTTTGACTAAAAATACTCAACGAAAAAGAATCGTTTTGAGTTTTCAGTTATAAATTTTTCCATATTTTCATAAATGCATTTTCAAACACGAGTGACCAAGTACGTTTTGGACATTTTCAAAAACTAAAAACAGAAAAGGGCAAACCAAACGCCCCCTTATATTTTCATTTTCAATTTATGCGGGCAATGAAGTCTCTCACTTTGTGTTCCTTAGGTTTATATTATGTTATAGTTTGTTGTTTCATACCTTTCTCACTGCCATTAGCATGCCACTGTGCAGTGAAAATGGAATGCTCATCTAATACAATTATGACTCTATTCCTTCTATCATGTGAGGTCAACATTTTTTCTCTTCATGCAAGTTTCCTCCAATGACCATCACGTTCCATTTACATTGCAGTAATCTAGATTAAAAATGAGTACTTAACTCGGATCACAATCATCACTTTTGGGTACTTAATTGAGTATTAGTCATCATTGGGCATTTGATTACTACGTCTCAAGAATGATAGACTTCTCAATAGGCTGAGGAAGGTCATTTCCATAACCGAAATTGTTTGTGAGTTGTGTTTGGGAGATTTAAAAGCAAAGAATCTATTCGTCAAATTTATCAAATTAGATATAGTGCTTATTGAATTGTATTACATTTATAATATGTTTTTTAAGGGCAAACAAACAATTTTCATTATATCACTAAGGAAATTCATATCCATACATTCCGTTACTTGCATTGAGATAACCATTTCCACTAGGAGAACTTTCATCAAAAGTGGCCTGGGGCAGTTGAATTTAAGGAACTTGTGTACATAACATGATTGTTTGTGATGCTTGCGAAATATCTTTTTTTATTTCAAGACCAACCATATTAAGGATGGACAATTAGGGCGATTGATCTACAGGATGATTCTATTGACTGTAAACTACTAGATTTTTCAGTTGTCCTAAATCATTTGTATTTTTCTTTCAACTGCCAATCTGGATGTCATTTGTTCAGGCACTTGACACTTTCAATGTGGCAATTGTTTCACCAATAAATTATGTGATGTTCACAACTGTGATTATCATTGCAAGTGCTATTATGTTCAAGGTAACCCCCATTTTCTCGAACTTGTATCCCATCCTCATTGCTCTTCACTACAACTACAGAAGATGGTGATATATCAATGTCGTCACATACTTGTTCTGCAGGATTGGTCAGGTCAAAATGTGAGAAGCATATTGTCTGAGATATGAGGATTTGTCACTGTGCTTTCAGGAATAGTCATACTTCACATGACAAAAGAAGATGATCAGGCAACTTCTCCCGGTATATTTAATGGTGAACTGTTGTGTAGTCATCAATTTTAGGGAGCACTAAACTTCTGATCTAAGTGTATCATATAATCATGGACTTGAGATTTTGGTCATGAAACTAGCATATTAGTAACA